AAAGGTATAAACCGTCCACTATCTTCATATATATATACTCTGGTCTCAATATTTCAACCCTTTTGGTGAGTGAATTCGTCTTAAAAAGTCTTAATTACTTTGTTGCAAAAACTCATTCAAACTTTCCCAGTGACCTGAAGTTCCTCTTGATGTTAAATCTGTTGCAAGGGGGAGACCTGTGTGGGACCAATGGGGATAGTGTAACGGTCGACCATACTCAAATTTAGCTGTCTCTTACCCCTCCATTTCTCGAGTCCAGGGAGCTCTGTTTGTTCCACATTCTCATCAGCAATTGGTTCGTCTGTAACTTTTCCAGATCCCAGGGTTTTCTCTAATACCTCAATGAGGTTAGTCCATTTGTTGTCTCCTTTTACCTTGGGACCGAGGGATTTCCTTTAGGTGAACACTATTTACGGTAGAAGGTGCAGAAGGTGCAGACGAAGCTCCGATGGGCGGAGCGAAACGCGTCCACCCTTGAGTGTGTGTTTCACATGCTGTGTCACCCACACGAACGGCAGCTCCCTCACGGACCATAAAAATGACCTTGTTTCCTGAACCAAGATGATTGGAATTCAAACGTCTGGAAATCACTAAACACATTGTACTGAAGTACCGGGGAAAAAAACTCTGAGATATCGGAACAACCAGAGAACAACCAGCTACCGTAAATAGTGTTCACCTAAAGGAAATCCCTCGGTCCCAAGGAAAAAGGAGACAACAAATGGATTAACCTCATTGGAGGTATTAGAGAAAACCCTGGGATCTGGAAAAGTTACAGACGAACCAATTGCTGGTGAGAATGTGGAACAAACAGAGCTCCCTGGACTCGAGAAATGGAGGGGTAAGAGACAGCTAACTGTGAGTATGGTCGACCGTTACACTATCCCCATTGGTCCCACACAGGTCTCCCCCTTACAACAGATTTAACATCAAGAGGAACTTCATGTCACTGGGAAAGTTTGAATGACTTTTTGCAACAAAGTAATTAAGACTTTTTAAGACGAATTCACTCACCAAAAGGGTTGAAATATTGAGACCAGAGTATATATATATGAAGATAGTGGACGGTTTATACCTTTAATCATATGGATTACAGAGACTTCCTCTCCCTCAATTATAGATAAACAGGATAAACAGTCCCTAGTTCATTGTACTCTCTACGCATCAGATGCCAGGAACAGGTCAAACCTATACCTCAAAGTAAAGTCACAGCTCAGTTTTCCCCTTTCCTTTTTTCCCCTCCCCTCCCCCTCCCCCTTCTTTTTGCTGAATTTTCTACATTTTCAAAGAGGAAAAAGTACCGAGAGGGTCTAAAAGCTATATTGGGAGAATTCCCTCTGTAAAAAGTTTTGAAAATAATAACTGCCGCAATCT